TCTCTAGAAAGTATTTCTACCATTAGGAAAGCAACTCCATTTGTAATAGCCCCACAAAAAATAAAATACCTAGGAATTAACTTAACTAAAGAAGTGAAGGACCTCTATGATGAAAACTTTAAAATCTTGAAAAAGGAAATCAACACAGAACTTAAAAAATGGCAAAACCTCCCATGCTCCTGGATTGGAAAGATTAACATCGTGAAAATGGCAATACTTCCCAAGCCTATCTACAAATTCAACGCAATACCTATCAAAATTCCACCCTCATTCTTCAAGGAAATAGAAGAGGCAATCCAAAAATTCATATGGAACAATAAAAGACCCCGAATAGCAAAAACGCTCCTCAACGGAAAGAACACTGCTGGAGGAATATCAATACCAAATTTCAAACTCTACTATAAAGCCATAGTAATCAAAACAGCTTGGTATTGGCATAAGAACAGACCTCAGGACCAATGGAATAGAATTGAAAACCCAGAAATGAACCTACAGACCTATAGCCATCTAATCTTCAATAAGGGAGCTAAAACAATAGAATGGAAGAAAGACAGCCTCTTCAGTAAATGGTGCTGGCAAAATTGGTTAACTACATGTAGAAAACTAAAGCTAGATCCTTATATATCACCCTGCACCAGAATCAACTCCAAATGGATCAAAGACCTTGAACTCAAAGCAGACACTCTGAAAACATTACAGGATGGAATACGAGAAACCCTAGGTCTCCTTGGCTCAGGCTGAAATTTTCTGAATAGAGACCCGGAAACACAACAAATCAAAGAAAGGTTGGACAAATGGGATTGCATAAGGTTGCAGAGCTTCTGCAGGGCAAAGGACATAGCTAGCAAGATCAATAGAAAGCCCACGGATTGGGAGAAGATCTTTACTAGCCATACAATGGACAAGGGTCTCATATCTAAAATATACTTGGAACTCAAATAATTAAACCACCCAACAACAAATCCTCAAAGAAACAACTGCCCAATAAATAAGTGGGCGAAAGACTTAAAGAGAAGCTTCTCTGAAGAAGAAAGAAGGATGGCCAATAGACACATGAAGAAATGTTCAACATCCCTAGCCATAAAAGAAATGCAAATCAAAACAACATTGAGATATCACCTCACTCCAGTTAGAACAGCAAAAATCAAGAACTCTAACAACAACAGATGCTGGAGGGGATGTGGACAGAAAGGAACCTTACTTCATTGTTGGTGGGAATGTAAACTTGTTCAACCACTTTGGAAAGCAGTATAGAGGTTCCTCAAAAGACTTCACATAGAACTCCCCTATGACCCAGCAATCCCACTTTTGGGCATTTACCCTAATGTTTACAAAAAAGACCACACTAAAGCTACCAGCACAACTATGTTTATTGCAGCATTATTTACCATAGCTAAGATATGGAACCAACCCAGATGCCCCTCAGTAGATGAATGGATCAAGAAAATGTGGTATATATACACAATGGAATTCTATGCCTCCATCAGAAAGAATGACATTGCCCCATTTGTTAGGAAATGGAAAGGCTTGGAAAAAATTATATTAAGTGAAGTAAGCCAGGCCCAAAGAAACATAGGTCCCATGGTTTCCCTTATTTGCAATATCTAGTATAGGTATGAGTCAAGCGGAAAAGGTCAGATAATGTGATGTTAGGAAAACGAACCCTTAAATATGTATTTTAATGTTTTTGTTTCTTTCATGCATGTGTTTCTAACGCATTTATAAGATTATTTCTTGGTTGCTTTGTATGTCCCTCCCCCACAGTGTAACCCCCGCTTTCACTATATTTGATGTCAGTATAACATGTGGAGGAGATGGGGACAAACAAGTCGTTTAAGGATTCAGGTGGACCTGTTGCAACAATGAGAAGTACAAAATGTCATGTCAAAACCAGCTTTACAATGTCGGTGTGGGGGGGGGGAGGGGGGTATGATTGGGTGGGGGGGAGGGGGGAGGCTGGGAAGGGAGGTGAAGGGTAAACAAAGGAGGAGGCTGCAATGCTTGGTAAGAAATGTATGCATTATCCTGCCCATGTAATTGTAACCCCTCTGTACAGTATGTTCTCAAATAAAATAAAATTAAAAAAAAAAACAAAAAACAAAAAAAAAAACTATTACAAAGTTCACTTTTGTGAAAGAAAAATGAGATATTCCATATTTTCCTCAAACCTTGAAATAAAAATCTAATTATATCATTAAAAAAAAAAAAGAAAGAAAGAAAGCATTTCTACCCAATGCCTGATAAATTTTGGCCTAGTTGTTGTGTTTTACTTGTCTTGAACCAACACCAAGAACTTGTTTGGCTTCACATTTGGGTAACAGACATTATACAGACCCCAAAGAACAGTGACTGGTATTTATAACACGGCTCTGGCCCAGGCCTGCTGCTCTGGCGTTACCTGTGTCTGTAATCACCAGATAGCATTCAGTCCAGGAGCCCACTGTGCAAGTACCACACCAGGCCCAGGAATCCAGACAGAAAGACTCTGCATGGTCCTATAGAAAAATGAACTTGAGGGAACCAGGCAGGCAGTTTGCTAACATTAAACAGTTGATTTAAAACAACAGTATTGGGGCTTGAAATCAGGGCCTTTCATTCTTGCTCAGCTATTTCACTCAAAGCTGGTGCTCTGGGCTGGGAAGGTGGCTCAGTGGTAGAGTGGTTGCCTTGCATGCATGAGGCCCTGGGTTTGATTCCTCAGCACCACATAAGCAGAAAAAGCTGGAAGTGGTGCTAGGGCTCATGTGGCAGAGCTCAAGCCTTGAGCTGAATAGGTGAGGGACAGTGCCCAGGCCCAGAGTTCAGGCCCTACCAAAAAAAAAAAAAAAGGTGGTGCTCTACAACTTGAGCCACAGCTCCATTTCTGGCTTTTTTGCTGTCTAATTGGAGAGGAGTCTCATGGATTTGCCTTACTTTTTGGATTTTGGCTTCAGATACATCCTCTACAGGGTGTTGTGTGTACTGCAGACAAGTTCCTTCTTTTAGTGATTAGCTGGCTGCCCAATTGCTATGTCATTTACAGCGCTAATCTTAGGTGGTCTTTTTGAAATTAAACACAACAGAAAAGGACAGCTCTAGTTAGAGCTGTCCAACCTGGGTCCCTGCTAAAAGTGGAGAGTTGTTTGTGTATCAGTCTACTTTATTTTTCACCATTACTTTTAAACCTAGCTTAGAAATTATGCTTTATTATTTTTGAGATAAATGTAGGCTAGGTTGGCCTAGGATTCCTGATTTTCCTGCCTCATCTTCCCAAGTGCTTGCATGTAAGCAACATACCTGTCAGAGCTGTAGAGACCAGGGCTGGTAGAGTGCCTGAGTTCAAACCCCAGTAACAACAAAAAGAAACAAAGACCAAAAGCAGGACTAGTAGTAGCATGGAAGATTCACTACTTCTCTGGCTCACTAGAACTGGGTTCTTTTGTAACTTTTATCTGTCTTTAGTTTGGGTAAGTTTTTTTCCTCATACAAGAACCGGTTGTTAAAAAGAAACAATCATAGTTATGGAACCGACCCAGGTGCCCCTCAGGAGATGAATGGATCAAGAAAATGTGGTATATATACACAATGGAATTCTATGCCTCTATCAGAAAGAATGACATTGCCCCATTTGTTAGGAAATGGAAAGACTTGAAAAAAATTATATTAAGTGAAGTGAGCCAGGCCCAAAGAAACATAGGTCCTATGGTTTGGTTTCCCTTATTTGCAATAACTAGTATATGTCTGAGACAAGCAGAAAAGGTCAGATAAGTTGATGTTAGGTGAAATGAACCCCAAGGTAAGTATTCAAATGTTTTTTCTTTCTTGTAATTGTTTCTAACATATTTATAAGATGATTTCTTTGTTGCTTTGTATGTCCCTCCCCCATGATATAATCCCTGCTTTCATTATATTTGATGTTGGTATAATTTGTGGAGGGGAAGGGCAAAAACAAACCATTTTAATAGGGATACAGGTGGACCCATTGCAACAATGAGATTACAAGTCGTTATGTGGAAAAACAAACTTTACAACTTTGGGGGGGAGGAGGGGGAAGATGGGAAGGGGAAACAAAGAAGGCAACAATGCTTGATAAGAAATGTACTCATCTTGCCCACGTAATTGTTACTCCTTTGTACGGCATTTTCACAATAAAAAAAAAAAGAATCATAGTAAAGACAGAAGACTTTTAGAAACATGGAAGAAAATGCCATGGGAATGAAGAATGTAAATGGCAAGAAGGAGAACAAGTATAAAGAATACCATGTTCTCGAAACCAAATCACCTGGAATTCTCCTTTCACACTTCTTTATGTGTCTGTGTGTCTGTGCTGGGGCTGGGCTGTTTCTTAACTTTTTTCATTCAAGGCTGGTGTTCTACCACTTGAACCACAGCTCCACTTCTAGCTTTTGGTGGTTCATAGGAGATAAGAATTTCACACCTGGGCTGGGAAGGTGGCTCAGTGGTAGAGCACTTGCCTTGCATGCCTGAGGCCCTGGGTTCAATTCCTTAGCACCACATAAGCAAAAAAAAAAAAAAAAAAAAAGAAAGAAAAGAAAAGAAAAAAAGAAAAAGGCCAGAAGTGGCGCTGTGGCTCAAGTGTTAGAGCACTAGCCTTGAGCTGAAGAGCTGGGGGCAGCACCAAGGCCAATAGTTCAGGCCCCACGACTGGATCCAAACAAAGCAAAACAAAACAACAAAAAAAGAATTTCACACCTTTTCCTGCCCTGGATGGCTTCAAGTTGGGTCCTCAGATCCTAGCCTCCTAAGTAGCTAGGATGTACAGATATGAGCCACTGGTGCCAGGCTTCTAAGTACTTTTTAATCTCACCCCCCCTCCTTTTTTTTGAGGTGGCAGTAGTGGTTTTAGAGGTGCAACTCAGGGCGTGCTCTACCAGTAAGCACGCCTCCAATCCTTAAATATCTAATTAATAACATGCAGTTTAAAAATTAGCTAGCAAATTTCTGTGATTTATACTTCAAATCTGCATCAGTTCCAAAAGAAAATAATTCATAGGCCTTAGTGTTTTTGAAAATATTTATGATCCATAGAAATGTACATTTATTATGAAATGAACATATTTTAGGAAAGTTAAAGCATATACAGCATTGTTTAATCTCACAAAATATATTTTGATGGGAATATCAGCAGTATAAAAGGGTTTTTAATTTATCAAAGAATTCAACACGGAGCTACTTTGGAAACTGCAAATAGCCAAGTTTTTCCAGACTAAAGGGAGGTCAAGACATGCTGCTCTCACACAGATGCCTCTGCACAACTGTGTGGATGGTACCACAAGTGACCTGCTATCGGGCCCTACATAAGAGAAGACGCTGGGCAATTAACTAAGTCCCTCACAGGAGACATGAATACCCAGAACCCTCCCACCAAGAAGAAGAGAACACTCTACAACACGAAGGTCAGTACTCATCTACATTCACCTCTAGTTTTTTTTTTTTAAACACTGGAAAGCATGTTAAAATGATGAATCTTTGCAAGAGCTTGGAAGATTTCCTAAAACACTGGCATTCTCTTATGGAGAAAACTTCTATGGAAACAAAGTGAGAATTGAAAAACACACACACAAAAAAACCCAAAAAACTCCCCAACACTTGCCAAATAAAACAAAGTCACTGTTCTCTATGTTTTGAGGTTATGAAAAGTGGTGACTTTGGCCTCAAAATTCAGCCAGAGAATACACTGGGAGCTGCAGTTCCTGAGGAGGGTAGTGGTACAGCTGGCCTTCAGCCTATCCTTGCCTTCAATTCCAAACCCTTTTGATCATCCTGGCTGGCTAAAACATTCCAAGCTACATTTTTGAGTTTTGCTGGTTTAAGACAAAATGATAAATGCAAATAATTAGAACTTAAAATACAGTTCTAATTTTATTTCTATTTTTGGTTGTTAAAACAAAACCTGTAAGCATGTAGTCACAGGGTTTCCCCGAACGAATCAACAGTTCTTTGGCAATGTTAGGTGTGTAATTTAACTGCCATACTAATTAACATCAGTTCTGATGAAGTGTTGCCATAGGAAAATTAGGAATTGTTAAATGTTAAACTTACTAACTCTTCATAAAAACTATTTGGTAAACAGAAAAGATAACTGGACAGATTTAATTTTTCTGATAAATGAAATTATGTGGCATTTTCCCACTTACACAAACTCCATAATCATGAGTTTACACAATGTAAACAAGAGAATATTATACAAAAATCTTCTAAGGTAATTTTAGTATAATTTACGAGAATAAATTAATAGTCAATTACAGTCTTGATAGTAAAACCAAAAAGAATGTGCACACCGGCCCACTGAATAAGTTGAACAAAGTGTAGTCTTGTAACCAAAATAAGTAATCACTCCCCTTTAATTTTTATGCACCGCCTGTAACATTCATGTATCAACCACATTAAAATAAAACTTCAATCTGGTACTAAATGGAAAACTGAATACATGAGGACTAGAGAGTTCTGTCCGAATTTTCGCGATTCCTATAGAGCAAATTAACTAGTTCTTTTTAAAAGGCAGCTATAAAAATACACATCATCACAAGCTATATGGAACTTTAAAATCCAGTTAAGAGTGGAGAGAGACTGGAGGAATTTCTTAACGTATGTGGAGAGCCGTAAACCCGAAGGCAGGAAGAAGGGCGTTTCGGCATGCTTCTAGGGTATAGTATCTCTGGAGAGCATTCAGAAGGAAAGCTCAGCGCCATCACACTTGATCCCGAAGGCGGGCCAGTCTCTGGGAGAGTTCATCCTGCTCGGCCGAAGCCACGCTCGTGCCCACGGAGCCCGTCTGGCCTTGCGGCAGCTCCATGTTGAGGTCGAGGCCCGCCTCGTCTGCCATTTCCTGGAGCAGCATATCTACTTGGTTCTGGGGAGTGGTCAGCGTCGTCGTGCTGCTCATCGTGTCTTCCATTTGCTGCGTCTGGACATCTAGCGTCTCGAACTGGTGCTCGAATTTGTCCATCAACGCAGAGATCTTCTCCAGATTCATGGTCTTCAGCGTCGCATCCATCGACTTAACCACACCGGCCATCGACTTGGTCACTTTGCCCATCGTCACCGCGGTCTGGACTCTGGCAGCCACCGCATCGACCCGCGCACTCATTCTCAAGAAATTCACCGCTTGGTTCTTCTGGCGGATGGCATTTTCGGCGTGTATCCTCGCTACTTCCATGTTGCCCTTCTGGATGGCCTTTTTAATTTTGGCCTTTTCGGCCTTTTCCTCCTTATCGCATTTTTTGGCACTCCTGCTCAGTTCTTTGGCCGCGAACTTCAGGTTGAACAGGTGTTTCTCCATGTTAGACATGGCGGGACAGCTCCGTGGGGTCGGCGGCTCGGACCGGGAAGCACGCGGAAGGGAGACCAGGAAAAACACGTCCGCGCCCGGTCGCCGCTCCTTTGTTTTGGTCCCACTTCCTGCTTCTACGGCGCGCAGCGCAGATGGTTACGTCAGAACTCGGCGCCGAGGCGGGGCCTGCTCCGGGAGGAGGGGAGGGCCAACGGATCGGATGGCGTCAGGGGCGGGGCTTGCGTGATGGACAGCCTCAGGGGCCGCCCGCCGAGCTTGTTGATGGACAGCGCCGGGGGCGGGACTCCGGCGAGCTTACCGGACTTCAGGTGAAGCTGCTTTTGGAAGCTGCCCAGGCCTAACCTAGCCTTCGCTGCGTTTTGCCGTTTTAAAAGCCACTGATTGTAAAGTTGATAAAGCTGGCGTCCACAAGCGCTTTCCTAGGAATGTATCCACTGAGGAAGACAGGCTGTGTCCAGATCTCACGTGACAAAAACCCAAGCTCCCCTCGGCTAAAACCCAGCAAGATACCCACTAACTGATCAGACTATAGTCATTTATCAGGCTAATCTCCATTTTCTCAGGGGGGCCTGAAAACACGGACTAAAAGCCTAGATACAATTGCTGCTGGGGTTCTGTATTTTATGGCAATGAGTGAAAATATCTTCAGTTTATCGATGGGCCGCCAGCAATTTTCATCTAAAAGTCATCCTGTGGCGAAGCCAGAAATATAAAAAGAACTGTTGCTTGCTGACACAATTCTTTTTCCTATTTTATAAATATCCACAAGAACTTCACTCACATTGGAGTTTGACAGGCTAAGCTTGTCATGTAAGAGTATGCAGGCAGAGAATGGTGAGGGCTGGAACCCACACACATCGGCACATATCCAACTGTCACTGTGTATTATACCTTTCCAAAATAAAAGCAGGCTTTTCTGACAGCAATGTGTGCTGTAACTTTTTCCTTTGGAAAGATTCCTCCGACTGCAAGAGCAAAATATAAGAAGGCCCAATCTGCCTTAATTGAGCTAGGCTGGAAATACTGAATTGATTTGATTTGAATCACAAGTCCCATATCTCTAGTCTTCCTGTGCTAGCTTGCCAGTCACTTAAAGGGGCACCTTTGTCACAGGCATCCTCTTTTAAAACAGCTCTCAAATCAGGGCACCCAGGCTAAACCACTTTCAGGTGCATATAGGTTCCTTTCTTTGTGCTGCTGATGCCAGTCCAACCAGCTGAAGCATGGAAACTGTTCATTATTTGTATCATTTGACCATGGGGAGGCTCATGAGGCACAGTATTCTTCTCTGCACATGGTTCTTGTGATCTGTTGGGATCTTGTGCCTGTGGGAGGCCATCCCAGGAGGTGCTCTATTGCTGCCACAGCACAGGGCATAAGCCTGGTTCACACCTACTTGGCATTAATTATGTGGAAGCAAAGAACACTCTTATTCTGTCTCCCTATGGAGTGCTATAGATACCTGGCTCCCTGAGCCAGAAGGCTTGTCTTCGGCTATGGTTGAGAGAAGCAATCACATTACTTGAAGTACCAGCCTAGCCAAGACTCTCCTTCAAAAAAAAAAAGAAAAAAGAAAGAAAGAAAGAAAAAAAGCAGAACTCTTCCTCCAAGTGAAGCCCTCCTTTTTTTTCTTTTCGGTGGCGGGGCTTGAACTCGGCCTGGGCGCTGTTCCGTAGCATTACAGCTCAAGGACAGATAGGGCTCTATCACTTGAGCCACAGTGCCACTTCTGATCTTTCTGTTTATATGGTTCTGAGGAATGGAACCCAGGGCCTCATGCATGCGAGGCAAGCATTCTACCACTGAGCCACTTTCCCAGCCCCCAAGTGAAGCTTTTTAAGAAAGATAAAATGTAAGTCAATGAAAGGGAAGGCAGTTGTTAGAACTGGGGCTAGAAGATGTAGGTTCTCTTCTCTGTTTTGCTCATTCCTGACTTGATGTTTGGAACTGTGGGTTTTCTTGCAGTTTACAAACTAGTTCCTTGTTCGTATCTATAGTTACCTTCCTTCTTCCCTTCCTCTTCTTTTCCTTTCCCTTTTTGCCTTCTGCATTGCCAGGGATGGAACTCAATGCTTCATGCATGTTATCTAGAGATAAATACTTTTCCCCTGAGTGACACCCTGGTCCCAAAGCTTTGTGTGTGTGTGTGTGTGTGAGAGAGAGAGAGGGGGGGGGGTTGAAGAGAGGAAGAGAGAGAGGGAGGGAGAGAAGGGAAGGACAGAAGGAGACAGACAGACAGAGACAAAGAGATTACTGGGGGCTTGAGCTCAGGGCCCAAGAACTTTCCCTGAGCTTTTTCGTTCAAGAATGACACCTTACTACTTGAACTACAGCTCCACGTGTGTGTGTGTGTGTGTGTGTGTCTGTGTTTAATTGGAGATAAGAGTCTCAAGAACTTCCTGTTCCAACTGGCTTCAAACTACGATCCTCAGATCTCAGCTTCCCTGGTAGGTAGAATTACAGGCATGAGCCACTGGTACCTGAATCATAGCTTTTCTAGTAATAAACTTTAATTAGGTGAGATGATCTGGAATATAATCATAAATAAACCCTGATAGATGATGGTGATAATGATGGCTACCTTTATTTCTAAAATACTCATTTCTCAGGCTTTGCTCTGGATACTTTCCATAAATCAACTAATTTCATTCTTACAAACCCAGAGGTAAATACTTTTAATATCTCCAATTTTCAGGTGAGGAAACCTAAGCACAGCAAGCGAAATGACTTGCCCAAGGTTACACATCTGGTTTTAGACATCAGATTCCAAAGATACATTGGGAAACAATAATGAAACAATCAGTACAGATGACACAGATAAAAAGTATATCTTAACCAAGGTGGTGCTATACTGTAATCCCAGCACTAGAGAGACAGAAGTAGGAAGACTACAAATTCATGGCCAGCCTGGCCTACAAGGTGAAAGATTGTCACAAAAGAAAACAAGCAAGCAAGAAAAAAAAGATCACCATGTCGCCTAAGAAAGGAAGATGACTTAGCAAGTTGTCTTGTTAAAAAAAATTTTGTTAGTCGTGGGTCTTGTACTCTGGCCTGGACGCTATCCCTGAGCTCTTCAGCTCAAGGTGACCACTCTACCACTTGAGCCACAGCGCCACTTCTGGTTTTCTGGTGGTTTATTTGAAATAAGAGTCTCACGGACTTTCGTGTCCAGGCTAGCTTTGAACCATGATCCTCAGATCTCAGCCTCCTGAGTAGCTAGGATTACAGGTGTGAGCCACCAGTGCCTGGCTGCAAGTTGTCTTTTAATATGAGCTGTAGTGCAGGCACCTCCCCCAGCCTGTCACACCCTCAGCCCCCTGCCTTGCCTTTCTTCCCTTCTATGGATACCCCTAGCCTTTCTCATTGTATATAGCAGGATCTATGGCTATAAATTCTCAAATTCACATTCCTCAAGTGTTTATCCTTGAGTCCCAGATTCATATAATCAGTCTTCTCCTTGGCAATGGGTAATTTGTTTTTTTATTCCTATGTGCTCATTTTCACTTAACCAATGCATCTCTGTCCAGCTAATTACTTTAAGAGTCTTAGGAAATAACCTTGCTATATGTCTTTGTCTGATGCAACAAACCTATCCTGAAGCACCTCCAGGCTTTATATTCCATTTCATTGAGGGTGACAGCCTTCAGGATTTGTTTTAGACTGGAAGACTTTCCTTTAGTGTAACTAGCAAAGGGAAGAATATTTTGGGATTTTATCAAAGGAGACTTTTTTTTTGGTGTCAGTCCTGGGGCTTGAGTGCTGTCCCTGAGCTTCTTTTGCTTAAAGCTAGTGCTCTACCACCTTGAGCCACAGTGCCACTTCCACAAAGGAGACTTTTATCCTGTGACAACTGCAAGCACACCCGAGAACCTTTTTTTTTTTTTGGGTCCGGTCGTGGGGCCTGAACTCTGGGCCTGGGCGCTGTCCCTCAGCTCTTCAGCTCAAGGCTAGTGCTCTACCACTTGAGCCACAGCACCACTTCCGGCTTTTTTCTTTTTGCCTATGTGGTACTGAGGAATCGAACCCAGGGCCTCAGGCATGCAAGGCAAGCGCTCTACCACTGAGCCACCTTCCCAGCCCTACCCGAGAACCTTCTGTACTCAATATGAGTGTCAACAAAGAATAGAGTTAATAATTACTGGAATAGTCACAAGTTTGGCTGTAATCCTGCTACCTTAAAACACAAATAGCCGACAGGCCACAGTGGCTCATGCCTGTAATCTTAGCTACTCAGGAGGCTGAGATCTGAGGATTATGGTTCAATGCCAGCCCTAGCAGGAAAGTCTGTGAGACTCTTATCTCCAATTAACAACCAGAAAATAGGAAGTGGCGCTGTGGCTCAAGTGGCAGAGTGCTCGCCTTGAGCTGAAGAGCTGAAGGACAGCGCCCAGGCCCAGAGTTCAAGCCCCATGACTGACCAAAACAAAAAATAAAACAACTAAACACCAATAGCCAACCAGAATATCCTTCCTCAGAGAAAAGAGAGACTATGATTAGATTCCAAACATTTGTAGGAAATTGTGAGCTAAACCAATTGTGAGCATGTACAAGTCCTGGGTTCATGATCATTACTGTAAAAACCATCAACCAAATTACCAAAAATGGTTAAGGAAAAAAAATACTATGATTGGGCACATCTAGCCTGTTTGCTTTCCTTCTTTGAAACAATACAAATGGCTGAACTTGAGACCCTGAATTCAGCAGGATATGTGGTTTGATTTTCCTGGGACAGAATCATTTGCTAAATCTAAACATGCTGAAGAAAAGGAAATAAAAGATATAAAATATAATTTATTCTGTGTTTAAATATTATCCAGGCTTTGGGGTAAAACACTTGTCAAGCATGCAGCAGGTCCTAGGTTTGATCCCCAGCACTGCAAAACAAAGCAAAACTGTCTCCAGTACCTGTGGATCCTTTTATTATTATTAAACTCTAGCATGCAAACATTTTGGTACCTACACCTGACAGTATTCAACTTCTAGAACCCAAAATGTGCATTATAAAATTACAGAAAGAAATCTTAATGTAATACAAGCACTAAATTAAGCTATCAGCACATGGAGATACTATACTTCTCCTTATACAGGAGAAGCATTGTTCTGGGGGTTGCAC